GTAGCTTTGCGCGAAATTAAAAAAAAAAAAAAAAAAAAATTTACTAAAAAACCTTATGTACCAGAAATTGTAAGATTCTAATCTTTTTCAACATACTTATTTTTCCACATAGTGACTAACTTAGTCAATCAAAGAAGTCAACGTCCAATATTACGACATACCTTTCGGCGTTCTTCTGCCTTCTCTAGTTTTTCAACAATTCGCTCGTACGTTAAATTTCTTTTCTTTTTTCTTGTTTTTTCGCGCCTCTGTAGACAGATTGGAGGGAGACGTCGTGCCTTTGGATTCAACATTTGATTAGCAAGACTCTCGGTAGCCACTAATTCAAACCTTCCATGACCAAGAAGAGTGAAATTTGTCATAAAACAAAATCAAACTTCGTGAACAAAAGCCTTAGGTGTAACATAAGTAAGATCATTGATAACAATCACTTATACTGATACCCTATTGCCTACGAACTTTCTGGTTATGAATTAGCTCAGTAAGTGAATTAAATATATTTTCGGACACTATATTTACGAAAATTTAAATAATAATAATAACAGATTTTAAAGTATGATATTTTGACCAAAACGAGGGCATTTTTTAAAAATTTAATCATTTGATAATATAGTCAAACAATTCTAAGAAATTATAATACGCAAAATGAAACTGTCTTACAAAATTACTAAGTAATTCATTTACTCCAAAATGATATTTTTTAATTGGTCCCCAAAGTGTGTGTAACCTGTTGTCCCTGATTTATAAGTTCATTTTAAATACACAAATAAGTATTTTTGAGCGTAACTTGTTTAATTTATAAACTCAATACAACCAATGCTGTATAGAATAATTCCCCCCACCCCACACAAATATGCAGCGGTAAGCTTGAAGAATCATAACGCTAAGAATATGGTTTTTATCCCTGCCAAGATAGCCTAGTGTGCAACTCAGAGCTTTAAAATAAACAAATAAACTAAAGTAGTTATTTATTTACTTTGTTAAATGTTCGCACAAAGTTACTAGAGGGTCATCTGCGATAGCCATCCCTAATATTAAAGTTACTCTACACCTCCCCTTCTCTAATCCTTGGAATACCTTTTACCAACAGTAGTAGGATTGGCCGTCATGCAATAATGCCCCCACGACTGAAAGGGTCAGTACGTACGGCGACAGGTTTGGAACGTGAGACCCTTATATTACAAGTTGAGTGTCCTAACCACCAGGCCAGATCAGACTTGAAGTGGTTAGATTGAAAAGTTAAGGTATGAGATTCTTTTATTTTTATTCATTTTTTGCTGATTTGTCTACAGAATCACATAATATAAATCCACAAATATTTATGGGTTTAGGAAAACATCCTGGTGGTTTAAATTACTAAAACTATCATAATTAGCGACGAATCAATTGAGTTGTTCACATTATGATAACACAGGCCTGCGAATTTAAACTTCATAAAAGTTGCTCTGGTTTTAATAACGAATTTTCCATAATTCAGCTACGCAGATTTCGAAAATAATATTAATTTTTTTTTTCTATCGCGTAAGGGTTTTTTTATTAATAGGGAAGAAAAAAGAAAAAACTCTTACTTACATCAAATTATTATTTCGTTTACCACAATGAACATTTTTCTATTATTAAGTTTGTTAATAAAAATGCAAACAAACTGAAGAAAGGGAAAGAACACTGATGTCAAACGAATATACATCTTCATTCATCCCGATTTCTTTTAATGAAATCCGTGTCTTTTAGTCTCAAAACTACGTGTTGTGGTCTTTCTTTATGTATGACGTTTTGTGAAAAATCTGTACGTGATGAAAAAAAATGGATATCATTTTCGCATTCCGCGTACAGGAATTACTGTTGAATATTTAAAAATTTCAAGACAATAAAACCATCGTATGCCTGTGTAACTAATGTCTTCCACAGCTGTGTAGTTCGTGTTAGATATTACAGTACTGGCTTTATCGATTTTGAGTCAACAATGTCATAGGCTAACCTCCAGGAAGAAAGCACATGTTATAATATGTTAAGGCTTTATTAATGTAGCTTAAATAATTCTTGGACTGCAAAAAAAGATTTTGGTTTGTACTAAATATAGCAATTTTAAAATCATCATATTCGTAACCACAGAGAGCCCATTTTAATTCTTAGAAAAAAAATTGATATTGTGGTGCCATCTGTTGGTCACACTGTAAACGAATTTATATTCATTTGGCGTTTATAATTTTCCTAATCTTTCTGCAGTCTAGTGTTTACCTACGTTCGTTTTTTTATGGTTTCTATGGATACAGCTGATTTATTATGTCAACTGAAATGTTTCTGACATTCTTTGCTCAGTTGAGATATTTCGAACCAGATGTTTAGGTTTTCTTATTTAAACAAATATTTTTTGTTCAAGCTTTGTTTTTCTTATATGAACAGAGATATTTTTGCAGACTAAGTAAATGGAGTTATTAATTTTATTTCATTTTATAAGCTTCTTTACTACTGTTCATAAATTTTTAATGTAAGCCATTACATTATCGTACACGTCTTGGTTTTGTTATTTCAACAGTAATACAGTTTTTTTTACGCGATGTGAAATATAATGTAACGCATGTTTGTTTATTAATTACTGTTTCAATCCCCTGGTGGTATTACTAACAGTATGTGAGCATATTATAGAAATAGAATTAAAAACTTTGGACCTTATTCAGCTCAGTCGCTAGTAACTTCAAATATCAACTATATCATCCGACATGCTTATATTAATTACAACCCATTGTTTTACATTGTTCTCCTTCACTTGCGCAAAACTCATGACAACATTTAGTATCCTATCGCCTGAACCTTATCCCATGACAACGTTTAGTATCCTATCGCCTGAGCCTTATCCCATGACAACATTTAGTATCCTATCGCCTGAACCTTATCCCATGACAACATTTAGTATCCTATCGCCTGAACCTTATCCCATGACAACGTTTAGTATCCTATCGCCTGAACTTTATTCCATGACAACATTTAGTATCCTGTCGCCGGAACCTTATCCAACGACAACGTTTAGTATCCTATCGCCTGAGCCTTATCCCATGACAACGTTTAGTATCCTATCGCCTGAGCCTTATCCCATGACAACATTTAGTATCCTATCGCCTGAACCTTATTCCATGACAACATTTAGTATCTTATCGCCTGAATCTTATCCCATGACAACATTTAGTATCCTGTCGCCGGAACCTTATCCCATGACAACATTTAGTATCCGATCGCCTGAACCTTATCCCATGACAACATTTAGTATCCGATCACCTGAACCTTATCCCATGACAACATTTAGTATCCTGTCGCCTGAACCTTATCCCATGACAACATTTAGTATCCGATCGCCTGAACCTTATCCCATGACAACATTTAGTATCCTATCGCCTGAACCTTATTCCATGACAACATTTAGTATCTTATCGCCTGAATCTTATCCCATGACAACATTTAGTATCCTATCGTCTGATGCTTATCTCATGACAACATTTAGTATCCGATCACCTGATCCTTATCCCATGACAACATTTAGTATCCTATCGCCTGAACCTTATCCCATGACAACATTTAGTATCCTATCGCCTGAACCTTATCCCATGACAACATTTAGTATCCGATCGCCTGAACCTTATCTCATGACAACATTTAGTATCCTATCGCCTGAACCTCATCCCATGACAACATTTAGTATCCTATCGCCGGAACCTTATCCCATGACAACATTTAGTATCCTATCGCCTGATCCTTATCCCATGACAACGTTTAGTAACCTTTCGCCTGAACCTTACAGTAAGTCCTGGAAGTTTTATATTTCTCCGTGTTTTACATACTTGACTCCGCCGGATGCCACAGACTCCGGTCTCATTACTAAGCCCTCATCACGTAACTTCTGTAAAACCTCTTCCGTGTCAAGGACGGTTTCATCGGTTGCTGCTGTTCTCTGGATTCCGAAGGACTTTCCTTCCACCAAAAGTTCTAAAACAAAAACTTGAGATAAAAAGCCTCATATACCATAGAAAATATTAACAGTCACACGTTCAATGAGTAATACAGGATTTACATTCAGCGAATAAAACAGGATTTACATTCAGTGAATAATACAGGATTTACTTTCAGTGAATAATACAGGATTTACATTCAGCGAATAATACAGGATTTACATTCAGTGGATAATACAGGATTTACATTCAGTGAATAACACAGGATTTACATTCAGTGGATAATACAGGATTTTCATTCAGTGAATAATACAGGATTTACATTCAGTAAATAATACAGGATTTACATTCAGTGAATAATACAGGATTTACATTCAATGAATAATACAGGATTTACATTCAGTGAATAATACAGGATTTACATTCAGCGAATAATACAGGATTTACATTCAGCGAATAATACAGGATTTACATTCAGGGAATAATACAGGATTTACATTCAGCGAATAACACAGGATTTACATTCAGTGAATAATACAGGATTTTCATTCAGTGAATAACACAGGATTTACATTCAATGAATAACACAGGATTTACATTCAGTGAATAATACAGGATTTACATTCAGTGGATAACACAGGATTTACATTCAGTGAATAATACAGGATTTTCATTCAGTGAATAACCCAGGATTTACATTCAATGAATAACACAGGATTTACATTCAGTGAATAACACAGGATTTACATTCAGTGAATAACACAGGATTTACATTCAGTGA